AAGCATATCTGTCAACATTGGGATGTAAAAAGATGGGATACACCCCCCAAAAGAACCCCCAAATGATCTGTAATCTGTCAATTCAGAGCAGTTTAGTTGTAAAAAAGCCTCGTTAAACTGTTAGAAATATGGGGAGAAAATTAGCTTTAAATTATAGAATAAATAATAAACAAAAAAACTGAAAATAAAATGAAAGGTTTAGCCTGTTAAAATCAATGTCCTATACTGAAATTAAATCAAATCATAAAATCTTGTTCACATTTTTTCACTGTATTTATATATTGATTAAAGTTACAATATTTATTTAGAAAATAGCAGCAAAACTGTCATTTTGATCCACTGTTTTGTTTGATAACAGCGGTGTCACTTTAGGAATCCACTGATCTATAATGAAAGCATTCAATTACTTTCTGAACTGTCAATGCCTGTTTAAGATAAAATTCTTTGTGTTGGAAATAACACACGCCAGGAAGGACATGTGTACATATTATTAAGTGTATTTAACCCAAACAATTCCAAAAGTGTCCACTTTCGCTCCTCTTCAAATCACGTGTACCAAAGCTGATCTGAGAACAGTGTTTTTATATGGAGTGTGTCCATCAGTCAGCACCGATGAGGCAAAGGCATCAGTCAGCACTGTTACTAATTCAGGTCAGTCAATCAGTCAACAGTGGCTTCAGGTGGATTTATGTGAGAAGAGCAGGTGTAAATGGCACTTGCGTGAGAAATTTGAGATTTTAAAAAGCGTACACAGCACCCTCTGATGCATTCGCAAAAACAAAAAACTGCAAAAAGGGACGTATTTTGAACTGTCCAGAAATGTATACAGGGGTACGTATCAATAAGGAACCTGAGTTGACGTTTGTCAGCTGTGCCATGTATTATGGGATAAGGGCAAGTATTTGGTTTTACCAGCAGCTCATGGACCAATTTCTGAAGTGACTTTTGATGCGCCTTCACCATTCGCAGTGAATTACAACATTGTTTTCAAATTACATCTGCGCTCCAGTCTCAAAATTGATGCCTGAAGGACTGCGTACAAACTATGTATAATATAAAAACGCCAGAGATACAGTCAACTAGTGCAGTCGTCTCTCCACACTAACAAGCATTGTGTTGTGTCGGCCTTTCATCCTCTCTTTGTTTACCTTCTGGAGTTGTGTAGCAATGTACATGCACATTAATTCTGATCAATCAAAATGTGGTTCAGGAAATTCGTTCAGTGACACATCTGGCCAATGATTGGTGTAGATGTTGTTGCATTACTGCGTTTTAGTTCATGTCAACTAGTTCGGACAAGAGCACTCAATGTGGTGTGAAAAGAAACCAAAACCGCAGAAAAAAATGTTACAATGTATCATTTGCTGGCCACCAGTGTGAAAGCACCCTTAGAAGGCTCGCCAGTCGAACCAACCCCAAAACGACTATAGCACTAGCTCTGAACTGGCAGCCGGTTCATGCTGGTGGAAATGGGGTAACACAGGGCATCGAGGACAGCAGAAATAGCTCCGCAGGGGCGTGAGTATTTTGTTTGAGAGCTGAAACAGGGGAAGTCCACTTGTCAAAAACAGGATGCGTTCTCTTGTGGAGTCAGCTTCTCCACAGGGGCCCAATCACAGTCCTCCACTTCCTGTCCTCCGCCGCATGCTGGCCGAGCCCCTTCCTGTGGGCCCAGAACCACAAAACACACTCCCCAATCGAGAGCAAGCCGCTCCAAAGTAAACGCTCTCATCCAGCATCATTTGCTGTGATGGATTTTATACTGGCCAGGATGCGGACAATAACAGCCGATTTATGACGTCTCCGGCTGTTTTGGGGAAACTCTAGAGGTTTTGGTATTTCTTGCTGATTTTTAGGACTGTGTGTGCGTGTGTGTGTTATCTATAGCTGGCTCTGGTCTAGTACTTGGCTATGGAGCCTGAAGACAGATATATCATTGGGCCTCTGCAGCTGTGAGTTTCACAAGGTCTGGAAAATCTGTTTTTGGAGTTCGCTGGCACAGACCAATGATTAGCCTCATATTTCACCAATTTGTTTTGATGAACAAAACAAATGATCCACAAAATCAACCTTGTTTATTGCTGGAGAAACCTATTTCAGTATCTTTTCTCCAGTTGCTGTACTTTTGAGGGTTTGGTTTTTAGGGTTTTGATGGAGAAAGTATTAAAAACAAGCAGCTGACTAAAATTAAAGAGCCCCTAATAAAATATTACTCCTGTAAAAGTAATAAAGTCCATGTGTGTTGGAAATTGCTGAAAATTTTATTTCAGTATTGTGATGTAATTTGCACCACGGTGGCTTAGTGGCTAGCACTGTCGCCTCAGAGCAACAAGATTGCTGGTTTAAGTCCCCACTGAGCCAGTTGACATTTCTGTGTGGAGTTTGCATGTTCTCCCCGTGTTTCGCCCGGGTGCTCTAGTTTCCCCCACAGTCCAAAGACATGCGCTAAAGGAGAATTGAATTAACTAAATTTGCAGTGTGTGAAAGAGTGTATATGGGTTTTACCCAGTACTGTGTTGCAGCTGGCATCTGCTTCATAAAGCATATGCTGGATAAGTTATCGGTTCATTCTGACCTCTGAAATAGAGACTAGGCTGAAGGAAAATTTATAAAAAATGTACTTTGAACTGAAACGGAATATTGAGTAGGGTGCTGGGCTTTTTTTTTTGTGCATCATTCCCTCATGGAAAAGAGGGGTGTGGGCAAGACTACTGTGGATGGAGCCGTAAAACTCACGTCAACAGAGAAGAATCAACACTACATATGTGGAAGCAAATAGTCAGACTTTGATTAAAGATTAACAAAAACATCTTTTTTTCAGTGGAATCACTTGCATTGATTAATTGTTCACATAAAAAAGAATAGCAAAGCAAAAAATACATGTTTCACATGAAATTTACAATAAAGGATTTTAAGGGCCTTATTATACACCCGGCACGATAAGGTGCAAGACATGCTTGGCGCAATTTGTTGCTATTTCAGAACAGCGCAACTCTAATTTTTACATTTTGTGCCTCATTGTTTAGCAAATCCATTTGCGCCTCTTTGTGGACTCATGGGTGTGCAGGTCTATAAAGGTGTGTTAGGGTGCACAAATATCTTTACAAATGGTAAAGAACTAAAGGATTAAAATAAAGGATTAAAATGTTACAAAAATTATTATTTACTACATAAATATAAAAACTTCTGCCTCCATTTCTCATGTGGGAGTCTTTTCAGGCTTATTCATGACAACTTGCATTTGTATAATGTTATTATTATTAATATTATTATTATCAGTAGTATTTATTATATGCATATTTATATTTGTTTTATTAAAAACAAGCTTAGATTTGTCCTCCTGTCAAGTTTTGGATCATATGAGGCATAGGACGTGTGTTTGGATATAACTCAGTTTTTTAATCTCACTTCATTATTATTGTTCATTTATTAATTTGCTGGAACTTGCATTAGAACTGAATTTAGAAATAAATCTTTGCGCTTAACAAACAAATTTATTTATGTAGGCTAATGGATGTCTTCAGTGGAGTGCATTCAACACCGTTTCCTTATCCACGAAAGTAAAGGAGTAAAGAGTAAAAGTAAAGTACAGAGAAAGTAAAGAGACCGAATGGAGGATCCTTATTCTTTATCTTCGTGCAGATGGTCTTTTTAACTCTTTAATGGGAGATGAGACTCTGATTGGTTTAATTCACGTTAGACTCTAAACACCCATAATTTATTAACAGAATAAGCACATTCCTGTTAGACCATGCACCGCGGCGCAGAGTGTATTTTTCTGTCCCTAAAATTGCAAAAGTTGATTCGGACATGCCCTTAATGCTTTTGCGCCTAGACTGTTAAAATAGTCATCTTCATTCATTAATATTCATTTTAAGCATATCTTGTCCAGCAGTACTTGTTTTCATGTACTTAATTATGCCTGTTAATTTGTGTTATTTTAGATTTGTTCTCGCTGGCTTAAACCGCTCTTTAACAGTAGATTTGATTCAGTTAATCAACTGGGTGGCTTGGTGGCTCAGTGGTTAGCACTGTCGCCTCACAGCAAAAAGGGCGTTGGTTTGAGTCCTGGCTGGGCCAGTTGTTATTTCTGTGTGGAGTTTGCATGTTCTCACTGTATTGGGTTTCCTCAGGGTGCTCTGGTTTCCCCCACTGTCCAAAGACATGAGGTATAGGTGAATTGGATGAGCTAAATTGGTCCTAGTGTATGAGTGTGGGTGGGAATGAGAGAATGTATGGATGTTTCCCAGTACTGGGTTGCAGCTAAAAGGGCATTCGCTGCAAAAAACATATGCCGGAAAAGTTGGTGGTTCATTCCACTGTGGCGACCCCTGATGAATAAGGGACTAATCCAGGAGTAGGCAAACTCAGTCCTGAAGGGCCGGTGTCCTGCATAGTTTATCTCCAACACTAATCATACACACCTGAAGATGCTAATCAGTGTCTTCAAGATCACTAGAAATCTATTAACAGGAGTGTTGAAGCTAAACTGTGCAGGACACCAGCCCTCCAGCACCGAGTTTGCCCATCCCTGGACTAAGCCGAAGGAAAATGAACGAATGAATCATCAACTGGTGATTTTCTCTGATTGGTTCATTTGAAACGGTGAGTTCGATAAAATATGATTTGTGAAGAAATTGAACCGATTAAGTTAAAACAACCAGCTCATTCTTTAATCAAACACTGGTATGACATCTCCAGTTCTGTCATTGAAAGCATCAATTTCTTAATACGAATTTTTTAATGAGAGATTTTGCTGTGGAATGTTGCAAAGTAAAGGTTTTGCACATAAAGTTCCATACACAAAATGTAATTAAGCACAATAATACAGTAAAAACTTAGTTACTGGCTCCACCAGAGCTTATGAAATATATTTTTCCCCCAGACAGGGCTTTTTTTTCCCTCTTCAATCCTCTTCCCAGATGCTCTCCAAGAATGATTCTTCATGCTGTCGTAGGTGGGCAGATTATCTGATCATCTTCTGTGTGTGTGTCTTGCAGAGGTTAAAGACTATGAACCTCCATTTGGCTCTAAAGTCCGAGAGCACCCCTGTGTGGAGAGCATGAAAGACAATGTGCTGCGAGACCGAGGCAGGCCAGAGATCCCCAGCAGCTGGATGAAACACCAGGTACAACATCAAACACTTACATTTCAGTCTCTGATCATGGTAATAGATATATAAGGCAAGGCAAAGGCAAGTTTATTTATATAGCACATTTCCTACACAGTGGTAATTTGAAGTACTTTACATAAAGAGGATTCAAATAATAATAACATAATAACACAATAATTATTAGAACTAAAACAACAAAGAATTAAATAATTAAACAGATTTAAACATGTTTAAAACAGGTCAAAAAGCAATAAAAGGGGGAAAAAACTAATTAACATGAATAATTTTCAAATGTAACATTAATAATAAATGTTTCTTGAGCACCATATCATTATTAAAAGGATTTCTGATCAGTCATGCAATACTGATCAATTATATTTAAAACTATATAAAAATTTCTACATATAGTCCATTTGAAGTACAATTCACTAAAATGTACGTATGTGCATGACATGATGATATACTGACAAAATTTAAATCATACTTTTTAAAACAAAACTGCCAACTGCATCCAAAATTGTACATAGTGCATTTGTTTTAAGCTGTTTTAATTTATAAGTATAAAAGGCATGTTCTGTGTAGTACACGTAAATGTGTGTAGTGTGTACAACGTCCACCATATTTTCACTGATGCTGTCAGTTCATCACTTCCCTGCGACTTCAGTCCTGTCTTTAGGCCTTGTGGGATAGCAAAGTGTCCATCAGATGCTAAAAGTAGCAAATCTAATTGGCCGCTGACTGTATTATAAATACTATGAATATATTAACAACATCATATATAATTTTTGCTGACCTAGAGTTTCTGTCATTTTTCTAGTCCAAACATCTAAAAATGCTTAAATCAATAGGCAGTTTCTGGTCAAATAAAATATAGTTTTCAGAAATTATAAGTTAAAATTAAGTGATTTTGCCTCAAAACAAGGAAAATAATTTGCCAGTGGGTTAAGAAAAATAATCATATCTCAATTTTTTATTAAACAAGAATATTTTATTTGCATTATTTTGCTTGTTTTAAAGAAAAACACAATTTTGACTTATTATTTCTGAAAACAAAACATTGTAATAGAGACTATATTTGGACCACAAACAAGACAAAATCAAAGACAAAAAGTTAGAAAAACATATGGAAGTGGGCATACTGTATACAGTTGAATTCAAAATAAATCACCCTCCTGTGAATTTTTCTTTCTTCTTAAAATATTTTCCAAATCCTTTTTAACAGAGCAATGAATTTTTTACATCATTTCCGATATTTTTTTTTCTGTAGAAAGTCTGATGCTGTGTTCACACCAGATGCGGCATGTGCGAATAAATTGCGATATTGGCGGGTAAATAGACATATGAACATTCTGAGTTTACTTGCTTTATTCGCGGGTCAAATTTGCTTCATTTGCGTGTCAAATTCACTTCACAATAGATGCAATTTGCGTCATGGACAGGACTTCTGTGTGCCTGGTGACTCTAGACTCTTGCTAAATGGCTAACATGAGTTTTGTTGAGAAATAAGCTGTGTTTTTGATCTTTAGGAAGGCTGAAAAATTCATTCGAGAGTCCACTAGATACTTTCAGAGGTGCACTCTTCAGAAACTGATGGATGGATGATGGATGATGGAGGCTTTCAGCTGTGTTTCTGACTGAGCCCAGCCCTTTAATGAACTGTTGTTTGGTGTCTGCAAAAGGATTTCCCCTCGGGACACCAACAACAGGCACTACGTCATAGTCACACCAAGTACAAGCTCCTGATTGGTTAATGCAGCAGGAATATCCGCTTAAATTAACATTTTCCAACTCAAACGTTTCACAAAATTTGCGCGTTAAGTGTGAAAAACTTTTGATTCGCGACGCTTCATTTGCGCATCAAATACACTTTTGTCCCGCGTCAAACTTACTACATTCTCGCGTCAAATTCGCTTCAGTCACACTTCAAATTTACTTCACAATTGAAGCAGATACTCGTCTTGGGTGGGGCCTTAAGTTTCTGCCAGATGACTCTAGCTTCGTTGCTAAATGGCTAACATGGATTTTATTGAGATAATAACTGTGTTTATGTAGGCTGAAAAACAGCGTATATTTGTTCGGCACCATGTCTGAGTCCACTAGATACGTTCAGAGGTTCACCCAGCTCTGTGAGTTCATAAACTCCTCCTGAAACTATACCTGGATGATGGAGGCTTTCATGGATGATGGAGTGCTTCTGGTTGAGCCGAGCCCAGTTTGATGAGCTATTGTCTGGGGTCAGCTGGAACTACGTCATAATCACACCCCTACAAGAGCAAGCTCCTGATTGGATAACGCAGCACGAATGACTCGATAAATTCACGCATTTGCACATGGAAATTTATAGAATTGGAAATTTTGAAGCATGTTAAGAGCATCAAATGAGAAAAACGCTCAATTCGCGTCGCTACATTCAAGCGAATCGCATCCACGATGTCTATTCGCGTCTTTGCCTTGACTTATATAAATCACTCGCGTTTGGCGCTTCTTCAGCATCTAGTGTGAATAGAGCATTATTTGTTTTATTTTGGCAAGGATAAAAGCAGTTTTTAATTTTTTATAAACTATTTTCAGATCAATATTATTAGTCCCCTTAAGCTTTTTTTTTTTTTGTTTGTTTAGATTATCTACAGAACAAACTATTATGTTTAGAAATGTGTTTAAAAAAATCTTCTGTCTGCTAAACAGAAATTGGGTGATTATACGTAAATTATACAGGGGGCTAATAATTCATAAAAAACACAGAAAAAAGTTCCCACGCACTCATGCTTTGTCTCCAGGGAGTGGCAGCAGTTTGTGCAACCATCAATGAATGCTGGGATCACGACCCTGAAGCCCGGCTGACTGCACAGTGTGTGGCTGAACGCTTCAACGAGATGGACGACGACCTGGACAAACTGTCCACCTGCAGCAGCTCTGAGGAAAAGATTCCCGAAGACTGTGCCGTGAGCGTGAGCGACGACAAATGAGAGAAAGATCTCTCTCTGCACAAACTGAATGTTGTACATCCTTCCAGCGAGGCGACGTAGAAGAATACGGCCTTTTCATAAAGCTTTATGTCTCATAACCAAAGATTTCATGCACTTTATCAGATTATTCACAGCTCACACTGAGGAAGGTCACGCTGCGAGAAAGAGGAGCTGGACAGATGCTGGGTTTCTCCTCTGACGGCTGACCGAGAGCCAAAGGTAATCAGGAAAATGTTTCGCCTCAACACTAAAGATTCATAGGAGATTTTAAGACTTCCTACAGATCAGTTCTGGATTTTCTGGATTTATGGAAGAATGTGAGATTTGTTTGTTTGCGTGCATGAATGGTGTGTGTGTTTGTTTTTGCCAAAAAGTGTATTGTGCTTGTTATAGCCAAAGGAAAAATATATTTTAAATACAGCTTGTGACGTAAAAAAAATCAACCCACACTATTGAGGGGGCCAAAAAAGGGAAGAGTATATATATATATATATATATATATATGCTGCACATACCAAAGAAAGGTGTTAAACGAACAGTATTTTGAAGCTCACAATGTGCCTCTTATGTTCACATATCCTGGATATTGAATTGTGCCTCTCTTTTACTACTTTTCATGTAATATATTGTAAATCTATGATGATTAAAAGACATTTATGTACAGGATTGATAATAAAAGTGGGTCATTTTTATTTTGTTGTACATATTATTGTGTATTATTTTACATATTGAATACACTAGTGTTGGATTTAAAGGTTCAAGACACACTGGAGTACTTTTTTGAGATTTTAACAGATCTGTGTGTTGAGCATCACTTAAGCATCAAGCTGTGAGACAGCGCACGGCACTCAGTATTTAACCATTCATGAAGTGTCATATGTGTTTGTTTCCATGATCCACAGGGTTTGCTGCAGGGTTTTCCCCATGATGCTGTGAGGGTTGATACAGCAAAGCTGTTTGTGTGCAGCAAGCAGTTATGTCGGGAGAGCTGTAGGAGAATTAGAGAGTGGCGGACTTTGTCTTATCAGTTGAGTTTGTTACCATTCAGACACATTGCCTATATCTGTGCTGCTGTGTTTGCACATGTTTAAAATCCTCCAGATTACCAACAGGGCAAATAGTTGAAATATATAGGGAAAGAGACCTGCTGCACTGCTATCTACTGTGTCTGCATTCAGACCCGGGGATTCAGGAGGAGAGAAGTCCTCATCATTTATAGTGTTTATATGATTATCTTTATAATGTATAACAAATTGTGGTTATATATTAAATGAAATTACGAATAGCCTATTATAGATGGCACAGCATTAAGGAGCATGAAGAGGCTAAAATACCCCTGCACCGACTAAAGTGAAATCTGAGAATGAATATGAAGTGTCACTTCACAAATTTTAATTTCAAGAGTTCACACTTAGCTGATGATTGATTATAAAGCTTGTTTGGCATGCTGTCCCGGGAGACAGCCCTGAGCTCATAAGATCCTCGAGTCCCAGGCTCCCTCTTGTTGCAGGACGAGAGGGGTGTTTGAGCTCAGGTAGATCTCGAGAACTCCGCTGCTGTAGTAGCTAATGAACAGATAGTGATTGCTCTTAAGAATAACTACTTACTAGGAACAACGTCTATAGTGCCGATTTGGATTAGTCAATTAACTTAAGTTGCATGTTTTTGGACGGTGGAAGAAAACCGGGAAACCCGAGGGAAACACACGTGAGCACAGAGAGAATGTGTAAACTCCGCAAAGAAACATTGCCTGGCTTGGTAAGGACTAGAACCAGTGACGTTCTTGCTGTGAGGCAACAGTGCTAACCACTGGGCCACCATGCCACCCATCTAGGAAAGGAGGAGGATTAAGGATGAAAGGGGGGATTCTTCAAAACGAAGATGGCTGTTGTATGGAACTTAGGGAATTTATAGTGGCTTAGAAACCGTCTGATTGATGAATCATAAATTTAAAAAATGCGGGACCGGCTGCAAACAATCATAAGCACGTGATCCTCTCGAAATTAGTTTCTAAATAAACTTCACTCTGCACACTGGATTGAGGTTTTTGCAGCGCTTTTAACCAATAACATGTGTCTGCCGATCTTTTAAATGCAACAGCCAATCAGAGAAGTTGCCGAAAATGCCAGAGTTGACTAAATTTTGCACACTTGTGAATATTTGAATCATCTTTTGTCTATAGCTGGGTTTCCATCACCCTGTTAATGTGCATTGTGAAGTAGAAATGGCTAATATAGCTTTGTTATTGCAAATAGGGCAGCACGGTGGTTAACACTGTTGCCTCACAGCAAGAAGGTCACTGGTTCGAGTCCCGGCTGGGAAGTTTGCATGTTCTCCCCGTGTTCATGTGGGTTTCCTCTTGGTGCTCCGGTTTCCTCCACAGTCCAAGGAAATGTACTATAAGTTATTTGGATGAACTAAATTGGCCGTTGTATATGAGTGCATGTGTGAATGCGAGAGTGTATGGATTTTTCCCAATACTGGGTTGTGGCTGGAAGGACATAAACATATGCTAAAATAGATAGCGGTTTATCCCGCTGTAGTAGCGACCCCTGATAAATGCTGATTTATAATTGTGAGTGATCAGAGTGTAGTCATGCATTTAAACTTCTGCATGCTGTTAGCGTTGCTCTGCAAAAACACGTCCCAAATGCTAGCTAGCAGTAGGTGTTTATGTTCCTCTATGTTGAGTTTCTTCATGGGTGTTTTGTTTTTTTTGACCACTACCCTAATGTACTAGTAGCTAAAACTCGCTCATTCTGAGGTGGGAACCAGCGGACATTCAACAACTTTAATCAGAAGGTAAACACTAAACAACTGTTTCCATATAGAGCTACTTCAGAGAACTCAACACTTGCAATGACTCACTCCAACGGGATCGCATGGCTCACGGTCCTGTCCACACGGGTCACAATTACCAACCTGACCAATCGCAGAGCTTGTGCTACGCATAGTTGTGACATTAAGTTATATTTTTTGAGAGGTGCGCATCACCGTCAACCACGACGAAGGCTATGCGACTGCGTGAAGGTTGCAGTGGAGCATACGAGTGCGCTTGACGCAGAAGTATAAAACAGCCTTAAGCCAAAGGAAAATGAATGAATAAATAATAGCAAAACCAATTAGCTGGATAAATTTAGACATAGTGAACGTTACAGCCTTGTGACTAATCAGCTTTTTCTATTACGTGTATCGTTGGTTACTAGGTTACCAATACTACAGTGAACTGCTCTAATGGCTTGAATTTTTTTTTTTTTTTTTTTTTTTTTGCAAACTTTGAAAAGATTTGCTTTATGCCAGGATGAAAACATGCTTCATTAACCCAACATGTTATATGACATGCAGTTTCCCCCCCAAAAAAACAGGTTAAATTTTGTTGCAGTGAATACAAAACACACAGTATCTAATAAAATATGTTTTTTCAACGCTTAAAACAGTACACCCTTTGCAAATCAATTCAAAGCAAACATTGTTCTTTAATAGGAACGTTCATTCATTCATTTTTGACCCTTGTTCCACTATTAGACAGTTTTATTAGCTTTCAGCCTGGGAAATGTGTGATTGACTGGCAGATTACCTGTAAGACAGCCGTTAGTTGCAACAATGTTTTCAGTTAGTCTTAACAAGCATTCTTTTAACCAGTTGTCACGCTAGCTGGTTTTGTGGGAACCAAACTCTTGAAATGAAAATCTGCCTTCAAATGTGCCTGAGTGAACTGACACTTGCATTTCTGTATATGAGCCTCAGGGTTTCTGCTTGGCTGTTGCTAAATCAAGAAACTGTTGTGTGTAGAAACAGTCAGAAACTGTCAAAAAAAAGTCAGTTTGATCATTTAGTATTTGTTTTATTTTTAGTTTGTGTTGTAAGTTTTGGTGGTCTTCATATTAAATATTATATTTTCATGGGACATATAGGGCAGCATTTCTTGTTCATTTTAAAGTTTTTATTTTATAATTAAACTTTTTTTATTAGTCAGAACCCAAAGAACACACTTTATCCCACACATACATATGATACATGTTACATATTTAGACAACTATCAACACCATGAAAAAACAGCATATAGTAAACACATGGAAATTAAGGTTGTCGTAGCCTTGTAAGACATACTTATTTTAATGGTCGCCAGAGATTATCCCAATTCCTAGCACTTCTCCTTCAATATTTAATCTCCCCAGTGTACACTCGTATGACGCAATTTCAATCAGTTCATTTTAAAGTTGATTTCTTGTCTCATTTTCATCTTTTAGTTTTACTTATTAGTTTTAGTTTTATTACTTTTTATTTTGATTTATTTATTTTTTATATTTATTTATTTTAAAATATGACTTCTAAAATATGAATAATTTAAAAACACTGCTATAGATAAAGGTAATTATATATACATATCTCTTGAGGAATATTTCTAGTACCTTGTTGAATCTATGCCATGAAGGATTAAGGGAGTTCTGAAGGCAATATGGGGTTCAACCTGGTCCTAGTAAGGTGTACCTAATAAAGTGGCCGGTGGGTGTATATAATTTTTAGAAAACCTTGTACAGTATTGGGTTTTGTTAATATTACAATAGCAACTATACAATAATTACAGATTAATACAAGTATGCTAATTTGCTACAGTATACTTAAAAACACAATAAAGTTTACTATAAATGCCTATAGGTTGTTTTTTTTTCCATGTGGAAGCTCAGCTTTGTTTTAGAGTGAGAGTTTTGAAATTCCTGAGAGGGACCGACAGCGACCATAATGACAGAGAAAACGACGAGTCCCCCAGACGGGACATTTTTATCCCCGGCAGCTGAAACACACCCCTGTTCCTCTCACCGTCTTTTTTCCCCAGCGTCTATTGTTTCTTTACTATTTTAGCCCCCTAAAACCACTGGAGCGTCTAGGGAAGAAGCAGACTAGGGAATGAACTGGTATCGGAGAGGCTGAAGGGCTATAAATACCGCTCTGTGGCGCTGATCTCAGAATAGGATTTATGGACCCGTTCAGATTCTTGGCATTTGTTGTTGTTGTGGTTCTGGAGAGACCAGAGGAAACCGTACTGCATTCACATTTCTCCGTCGGTGAGGGATGGAGTAAACAGTTTAGTCTCTAGTCTCCATTTTTTTTAGAGATGGCTGTAAATAGATAGAGTACTAAAATCTTTAAATATAATATACTAAAAAAGAGATTTACGAGACCTCAAATATGTGTGACTGTGAAGTCGACTTCATTTAATGTGAAGAATTCGTAAGTTTGGGTGACGTGGTGGTGCAGTAGGTAGTGCTGTCGCCTCACAGCAAGAAGGTCACTGGTTCGAGCCTCGGCTGGGTCACTTGCCATTTTTATGTGGAGTTTGCATGTTCTCCCCATATTTGCGTGGGTTTCCTCTGGGTGCTCCGGTTTTCCCCACAAGTTCAGAGACATGCGGTACAGGTGAATTGGGTAAGCTAAAAT